ACACACACATACATATATTAAGAACAACTAACAATGATAAAGTGGATTCATATATCAAAGGTAATTGATTTCTATTAATTTAATATAAAATGTAATCATCAACTCGTTTAGCTAACTTCAATACTTTAAAAAAAATTATTGTTATGATGGTATGGTTGGTGAATAAATATGGATTTTTGAAATATCTTGTAATAAGAAAATTATAATTGTAAGTAAATACCTAAATATCATTTATAAATAAATTAAAATAAAAAACGTAACATTTTTGTTGTAACAATGGATAAGGTATCTTTTATCATTATAAAGCAACATTAATGAAGTGCCTTTTGGGGAACATAAAAAGCATTTTTGATACTAGAAGATATTGTGTCGAAAGTTTATATAAAGTAAATTATGTTTTTTGTCACGTGGTTTATCAATAATTATAATTTTTCCTTGGTTTAGAAATCATGATTTTATCTTTATAGTTTGTAATTCTTTGCTTGTTTTATTCTTATCATTTACAATTTATTGTTGTTTCGGTCCCTATGGTTTAATTTTATTTATTGTTTTGATCTTTTATATTTAAATATAGAATTAGTCAAGGGACAAAAATAACAATAAATTATAATGGGAACGAAAATCGTAATTTCTAAACCATAGAATCAAAAACTGAAATTATTAACAAACCATATTGGCGAAAACTATAATTTACTCTTTTAGTATCAATCCATATTCGGATCATACTCTCATTCCGAGTGTTATTTACACTTCGTTAATGTGTATTTTTATTCCTTTTTGTGTTTGTGTTTCCCCTTTTTATTTATTTATTCTCATTTGGAGTTGTTGATGCCGTAAGTGATAGTGGAGAGTCACCACTGTGGCAAACAATAGTTGTAGAAAATCCTTATTAAGGATTTATTACCAAAACTATGAAAGAAGATGAAGGTTTCAGTGTAAGTCAAGGGCTGAAGATATCATGAAAATGAAGAGAAAGAGGACAATGGAGATAAGACAAGCATGGAGAAGAAGACAACTTTGATCCATCACTTTTTTCCTTGGCAAGTCTCTTTCATCCTCTCTCTCTCTCTCTCTCTCTCTTCCTCACACATATAAAGAGGGCTTGGGGCAATTTATTGGAGGCATCATACGAATCAGAATCAGTTGATAGTATTTTGTTCTTGTATTTGCTCTTTAACAAGTCTAATTTCCTACAATTTACATTTTGTTCACCATCGTGGGTTATGACCATAGTGGCAAGTTTACGTTTAATACAATTTATGTTCGAGTAATTCTGTTCTTATATCATGTTTTCTACTTATGAGCAGTAACTAAACCCCCATTTGGGTTTGTGCGTGTGTGTGTAAGCCAAACCAGAGAGTTCAAAATGTAACACTTGGGTGTTACCATTTTTGCTAACTCTTCGGTTCGGTCATTCGAGTTGAAACTTTAACTCAACGCTGACAAGATGATCACTTCTAAGTGTTAATATTAAATATTTGACCCATATATGGGCGGATTTTAAATATGGTTTAAATGATGAAAGGGTGAGAAAATCTTCAATAACCGCATAGAGATACGGGTTTGTTATAACTGAGTTTTCTGCAAACCTAGTCAAGGTAACTCTATGTGTTTATTATGTGAATTATGTGATAGCATTCATGATATCTTAAAATATAAATGCATGAATTATGTGCACATGTGTGGTAATTTGATATTATGCATACATGTGGAAATTTTATAGGCAGTTATATGATAATATAATATGTGGGAT